TCTAAAGGCTAATAACTCTCCTTAATAGGAGATCTAAGTTGAGCCCTGATAAAATGACTTATAGAAATACAAAATAAAGCAAGATATATTCTAGCATTAATAAGATCTTTTATTAAAATACGATAATTTCACATAGGCTTTGTTTGAAGATCACTTTTACATTTGTTTAATAGATTTAATAATCATAGATGCGATTTAACCTTTAAATAGTAAAGTGTTTTGTTGAGGCTATTCATTAAGTCTAAAGTAAATTCGCTTAACAAAAAAGGTAATTTATAATGTATAAAGCTTATTGAATAAATTTTGTTCATAGATTTTCTAAGAATACTTTAAGTATAAGCGTCTGCAATAGGAAGTGAAATTGATGACATTATAAGCATACGGCTTCATTTGTTGAGGAAAGAAGCTATTGAGAATTTACCAGATTTAATAAACAAAAAGTGAACCAGTCAAGAAAAGATTATGCTGAATTATGTTAGATTCCGAAAGAATATTCATTTTAATAATTGACAATGTAAACCTTTCCATAAGCAAAGATGATCGTTTCTACAAATGCGTCGCTCATCAGTGTCCAAAATAAGGTATATCAATGTAATATATTCTATGAAAAAAAATTAGAACCACAAAATAACTTATATTTAAGCAATTGTAGATAAGCATGTGGTGACCTTACTGAAAATACCGATTCATACTATGGATTTAGCGAAAGGTTAAATACATTTTTGTACTCTTCTAGAGGCTACATTAATGAGATGTTTGTCCCTAAAAATCACTATATTTATGGCTATTAATAAAGACTAACTCGAATTAATATGACCATGGCCTCAAGAGCAGCGTTTAATCCAGCAGCGCGAACGGATTGAGACACATCTGATAGATGAGTGAGTCCGGAACACGTTTGGTGATGAGATGGAGAGAGAGCTGATACAACTTCCTGATCTGAGGCGGAGAATGAAGATATTGGAGAAACTGACTCTAAATGTTGGTTGCGACGTGTTCGGGCATTAGTGCGTCGAGGGAAGATAGGTGTCGAACGGATAGATGAACCAGATAAGATACTACTTCGCTTAGAGTTGCCGGAATGAGGACTTAGGCGAGATGACAATGATGAAGAAGTAAGATTGTCGGGTGATGAAACTGGGGCGTGCTGAAAATAGGAGGGTAGACAAAGTGAGTAAAGTTTACAATAATTTCACTCGCAAGGCCAAACAATACTTCAGACCTGAGTTTATAGTTTTACTTGATCCAAGAAATAAGATTGAAGTAAAGTATATGTTAAATTTGAAGTTATTAACTACTAATAAAGCTTAATTATATGTTATATTATAGTTATTTGAATTTTATGACAAAGGTAAATAGGGAAAATGATAAAGTTAAAACTCGAAAAATATAATATTTTAATGAAAATAGCTTTTTTGCTAGCAGCCTCGGTAAGGGAGAAGAATAAATCGGTTTTTTTAATTATATACTCGGTTGTTTCTAAACCAAAGGCTGACGTAGAGGAAATATTGTTGATAGACATTAACTCCATACAAATACATAGGAAAAACACTTTTTGCAGTTAGCTTAAGAAGGCATCATAGATAAATAAAAACACGATGTTACAGAGGATAAAGGTAAGCATGAAACCGATTAAGTTGAGGTAAAATCAGAGCTGTTTACAGTAATACTATGAAGGGTATTCAAAAAGTATCAATAAATATTTGCTATTCTTAAATATATAGAGATAGTCATTGAGCAATTAATAAACACAATGGCTCTAGAGAGCGAATAAGGATTAATTCATTTAATATGACGTAAATAAGGACATTAATCGAAAGGTCATAGACAGACAGGTATGCAGTGATTGTCATGTGTCAGAGAAAAAATAAAAAATATGTGTGATGAGGTGTGAAATAAATGTTAGAAGTTATGACTCAGAAGCCATGCGAACGGCTAGAAAAAAAAATCACTTTTATTTCGTAGATATGAAAACCAAATGAAAACAAGGTCAAGCAACTTCTATACAACGAAAGGAGACTGCGACCACACAAAAGGCCACACCATCTTG